GGTGTGTTTTTAAGCCTCCAGGATGAGATTCAAACCATGAGTGGCCATGTGCAAGCCGGCTTCCTTAACCATAACCAGTCTGATTATTATTTTAAAGATTTAGAAGCCTGAACTTAGTAATAAAAGGTGAGGTTGGGCATTCTGTGTTTGTCAGAGGGAGAGTTTCACAGGTGAATGAGGAGACCAACCAAACAATTGGAGGAGGGGCAGAAGCTACCTGCAGGGTCAGTCCTCCCTCCTTGGCACCCTCCTTCCTTCCTGTGCATTTCCTGTTTTCTCCACATTTCCACCCTCGCGTGGAACCAGCAGGTCTCTCCATCAAGACTGGAGTGAAAAATTGCCGCCACGATCTAGGTAATTTATAGAACTCAAGTTGACAGTGAGTCAGTCAGCAAGGGCACAGTAGGTTTCTATGAGTTCAAGTTCAATTTATATAGGTCTCACTGAGGGTCAACCCACCATGCTCCAGGTATTCCACTGGGTCTTGCTGATGAGGGGAAGAAGATTCAAAAAAAAAAAAAAAAAAAGGCAAAAATCCTTGACCTCCAGAAGCTCCCAGATAGTCATCTCACTTTTCAGTCCACTTCCCCTGTATGCCCGCAGGTTTACAATGAGCTGCTACATTACAGGCCTAGCCATTACAGAGCCTTGGTTATTACTCATCGATAGCTGGAGTGACTAGCAAAAGCTGGAGCTCAGGAAATATTTACCGACCAAATCAATGAATATGCTGCCAACCCCAAGATAAAAGTGGGAGACACCCCCTAAATCCTAATTTTTCTATACTTCCTTATATCTAGGTATTTTCTTGCTTGTTTTTCCATTTAATCCCTAAACTGACACAGAGTATGGCAAGGGAGGTAATAATTCCAACCTGATTTTAGACCCTTAAAGATGCAGGACCCCACATTTAACGAGCTATAGGATGAGGTTTGTATTTCCAATAACAGCTAAAAATATGGATTACAGGCCTGACACCTACAGATGGTTCCAGGCTTTGGAGAAACTCAGAAGGCCAGAGGGAAAGGCCTACCCCTTCTTCCCTTGCAGCGGGAAGGCAGGTAAGAAAACACAGCACACTGGTGGCAGCTGGAGAGCTGGCAGGCTTTCCGAGGGAAGGACTGGAAGCAACGTCACAGGCCAAGAAGACGGATGGGGCCTGTTTGTGCATGAAGGCTGACGTACAAATGGAATCCTGCCCAGTTTGGCTGGCCTTTCTTCAAAGGTGTCATTGACAGATGAGTATTGAAATGCTTTTGTTTAAAAAAAAAAAAAAAAAAAAAAAAAGAAAGGAGAAAAAAAAATAAAAAAGGAACGCAAGAAGAGAATAAAATGAAAAATATCTCTTTCTACTGCAGACACAATCAGAACGGATGTGAGACTACCAGATCAGGCCTCCGAGTCCTTTCAAAGGAGCCCTTGATCATTAGTGGCCACGTTGTACACCTTTTCTTCCAGAGGAGTTTGCCTTGAGCACAAGGATCTCATTGAAACCCCAGTGACTGCTGGTCGGCTGGACCCCATCTGCTGCTGGAAGCACGTGATGGGGACAGGCCTGCTCGCATATTCATCTTCATCTGCCAAAACAAGGCTTCTTCCCCGATTCAATCGGCCTTTTTAATTTCTCAGTAGTAAACAATGTCTACTTAATTTGTGGAAGATATGCAGCAGGGAGTTACTGAACCTAATCACCCAGCGACCTGATGGGTGAGTCAGAGTCATGACATGGGATTGTGTGGAAGAGGAGGCAGAAGGGTCCCCCTGAGGTTACTGCCTTTGTGGGGCTGCACTGATGGCAGCTTCAAGAGCAAAAACAAGCAATTCTGTTTTAGCTCATGTCTACCAAACACAGCTTAAAAAGGAGGTTAATCATCACCAATCTTCAACGGTTAGAACTAAGTACAGTTTCTCAGATGACCTTGTGTCTTGGTCTTGCTCTTCTGAAGATGGGGACCAGGTGACACACATGAAGAAGCAAGAAACAAGAGAATGTCATTTCTGCCCACTCAGGAGAAACCAAATCATCTCTCGTGACTCACCCAAGGACTCTGGCCAGCTATGTAGCTCAGCAAGAGAGCAGGGAGCACTTGGAAAATGTATGTTCTCTAGACTACGGGGTGCTCACGCTGTTCACATTTACCCATCCTCAGCCAAGTAGGTGTTTATGAAATATAAGGCATTCAGAAACATGCCAAGTACAATAGCTCGTAAACTTGGCCAGAGGTAGCTGAGGTAGGTACAGTGACCTTAGGGCTGACCCTGAGCACCCACCATGATGACTGAATCAGAAACCCAAGGAGAGGAGTTTAAAAAGAAATCTCTTTAGTGCTATGTACAGCAGTAGCACAGTACTTCATGATGCGAAAGCCCGTGGGAAGGTCCTGGGTTTGCATCCTAAGCTCTCTCCGAGTATGCTAGGCATGCATGCACACAGTTGTGATTATAGCTGGCTGAGGTCAGGGTTGGATCCCAAAATGAAGACCCTGTTGGGGACTTGTCTCAATCTCTTTCTCATGAAATAAATAAAAATTAAAAAAAAAAAGAAAAGAAAAAAGAAAGCTAGCTCCTTGGCCTGGGAGTTAAGGTAGTCAGATCCCATATGGCTGATTTCATGGTTCGAGTCCCTGTCTTGGTGGCTTGAAAAACACATAGGGCATGTGTGCATGTGTGCCTCAAATCACAACAAGCTGGAGAAATGGAGAATAAGGGATTGAGGTGTGTCCATGTTCCTTGAAGGAGTATTTTCTCCCTCTTTTTCTCTCTCTCCATCATTCTCTCTGGAGAATGCATGTACCCTCTGGGAGATGTTTTTAAAAAAAGAAAAAGAAGAAAAGAGGAAAAATTCTTAAAAAAAAGAAATTAATTAATTTCAGGCTCAGATTTGGAGCCCTACCTAAAGTCCAGGCATGGTAAAGAACGCCCTCAATTTTAGCTGGGAGGCTGAGGCGGGAAGACTGTGACAGAGCTTGCACTAAAAAAAAATATAAAACATGGGACCAGCAGTTAGCATAATGGCTATGTCACTGGACTCCCATGTAGTCGACCATGGTCCGCGTCCCGGACCCGGTGGCTTAAAACTCACACCGGGCGTGTGTGCGTGTGTGCCCAAGATCCCAAGAGGAGAATGGAGGAGAAGGGATTGCAGCACGGCCATCCTGCCTGGGGGGTGATTTCTCACTTTCTGTCTCTGTCTTTCTGGTGAGCACACATATAGCAAAAAAACCTCCAAAACCAAAATTCAGACAGATGGACAAACAGCTTTGGCCAGATTATGTCTCTGACACCTGCTATGTGTGCCCCCTTCCCCACCCCCAGGAGATAACACATATTCTGAATTGGCTGGCTGGGCCAGGCTGCAGGTAAAAATGTCTGACCTCCTTTAAGCAAAAATAAACCTTGCTGAGTTAAATGATCCTGTCTCTTCAAGGAACATGAGGCATTAAGTGACAAAATTCGAAGACAGCAACCATGAATTCTCAGAGCCCGTATCTCCTGGCTGATTAATTCTAGGTCTGCCTCGTTCGAGATGAACTACAGACCAGGTACATGAGACGGCCCTCCTTGTCATAGTCAACACCAGGATGACTGTCCCCAAATTGTTCAATCCCTACTAATGCAATTATGATCGCAGGCTAAGTCGGAAAGAAAGTGGGGAAGTAATATTCTCTAGCCAGAGAACCACCACGTCAGAGATGACTGTCTCATCTTCTCCACGTGCCTTTCCTTCCCACAGATATGCACAGTATGCAAAGACACCGAGGCTGATGTTTAAAGTCATCCTGAACTGGATGCTACTGAGGGAGGCTGCCTGGGTGCCCCGATGGCCTGGTGGTCAAGGAGGACTGACTCGGCCAACTATGCGGTTCGAATCCCCACCCCCAATGGCTTGAAAAACACATTGGGCATGTGTGCATGTTGCTCAAAATCCTGGATGGAAAAATAGAGGAGAGAGAGTACAGCACTGCCATGCCCCATTGGGAGAAACTTCTTCCTCTCCTCTCTCTCTCTCTCTCTCTCTCTCTCTGGCAAGCACATCGCCCTCCGGAGACATAAAGAAAGAAAGAAAAATAATAAAAAAGAAACAAACAAACACAAAAACAAAATGGATGGAGGCTGCCTGAAAACGAAATCACTTCTTTTGGAAAACCTCGCCAGTGTCAGGATGGTGCTTGGAGCGAATCTCCAATCCATTAACCAGTGGATCCAACAATCAATCAGAAATAGACTGTGTGCCAGACATGCTCTTAGTCCCTGTTTTTGTCACAGCTGTGCTTGAAAGGAGGATTGTGGCATTCCCAGCTCTTCAGGTCCAATACCAGTGAAAGTCCCCAGCCAGTCACCAACGTCCACAGATGCTTGTAAGAGATGAAAAATGGGAAAAACCACAAACAGGGCTATTTTGACAACTCGATTGTGAAATGCTTCACTTTCCTCTGGCCCCAAACCCAGCACCTGCAGATACACTTAATTCCCCAAGGGGATTAGGGTGATGAAAATTCCAGTCTTTCCAAGAGGGGGTATTTTGGCTTATGTTTGCCTCAAACAAATCCATACTTTCCTCATATGCCATGTTCACCCCGATGATACGAAAGTTGGAGATCCAGAGTTTACTTTAAATGAACATGTTACACACTGTGCAAAATTTCTCCTTTGCAGGTACCAATTGTTTACTGGCTACAAACTAAAGAATAGACAGGCTAGGAAAGATTGCTTTCTGTTTTCACATTCAACACCACCACTTGCCAGAGCCTTGGTTTGGAGAAGATAACATGAAGCTAAACAGAAAATAATGACTTTTTTCCCCCCTCCTTTCAGAACCTACTTTTTGGAGAATAAACCTGCTACACGGAAATATCAGGTTGTCGAAAAAGTCATGAAGCATTTTTGCATAGATAAACATAGAAAAATAAGTAATCATTTTTCCAACAACCCGAGAGTTGACTGGCCAGATGAACGGACACCACGCATACTCTATATTCACTCGTCGAACCACTGTTTACCTGCTACCACGGGCGACTTCCGTTCATCCAGAAGCTGGATGGAGGTACTCGCAGTCACCACGTTGCTTTTGTTGACCGTTCCTGTAAGAAGAAAAACCACCATGACAGAATGGATCTAGTTACAGGTACACTGTATGGGAGTTACTGCACTGGCTCACAGTCACTGATTCTGCAAATCGTTCTGGGGCTCGGATCCCAGAACCCAGAGACCTCTGGGCAGTGGACGCTCTGTCCACTCTGCAGGCCACTGGTGCCAGGCAGTCAGCTCTCTTGGCTGATGGACTCAGCACGGAGCTGTGACCACCTGCACTGGGGAACATCCAGCCTTATCACGTAGAAACCACCGACCACCACAGAGGGCCCACCTTTCTCTTAATCTGCGGTTACTTATTATGTGTTCACTTGAGTCAGTCATCACAGTTATTTCGCCTCTTGAAATATTGCTGTGAGAGGTGTATGAAGCCTTGGAAATTATTTTACAAGCAGTTGGCAGTGAAGCTCTGATTTGTCCATTAAATCTTTACTGATCTATAAAATTCTAATTTCCAACCCCCTTTTTCTGAAAACCCTTCTAAACAGGGACAGAGCTGGAATGCAATCTTTACTCCAAACCCTTACTAATCCGGGAACAATATGGCATTAGCAGTAAGAGATTTCAATTACTAACAATGGTTCCAATGCCCAGGAATTAAAAGCCACTGGCTGAGCTCAAATTCTGACTGCCCAGAGTCAATAACTGTTAGTCGGATGCCTGACTTATAAAAGGTGCTCGATGTATGTGAGCTGAATGGAATCCAACTGAATTGAAAAGTAAACAAAAGTCAGGCTTCAATTTGAATTCATTTATGACCGAAATAATTAGGAATTTCTCCTGGTCCAAGTCTAAGCACAATAAAAACCAGCTATTTCTCCACTGGCCACAGGTATTCAACACATAGCAGAGAGAACGCCAACACAACGGCTTATACGTGGTGATTTTACAGATTTTACCTGAGTCTGAAGGGCTCATGAAATCTCTGAAAGTGATTATGGGAGGTGAATCACACATGTCTGACTGTGGTTCAAATCCTGGCCCTATAGACTTGAAAAATACATAGAGTATATGTGCATGTGTGCCCCAAAACCTAACAGGATGGAGAAATGGAGGAGAAGGGATTGTGGTATAACCACATCTTATGAGGAGGTGCTTTCTCCCTCAACTAAAAAAAAGAATAGTAATTAAAAAAAAAACAACAGTTTCAGGGGACCAGCAGTTAGCGTAATGGCTATGTCACTCGACTCCCATGTAGTCGACTGCGATTCGAGTCCTGGACCCGGTGGCTTAAACTCACGCCGGGCGCGTGTGCGTGCGTGCCCAAGATCCTGAAAGATGAATGGAGGAGAAGGGATTGCGACGTGGCCATCCCCCCTGGGGGTGATTTCTCGCTTTCTGTCTCTCTGTCTCTCTCTGTCTTTCTGGCAAGCACACATGCCCTATAGCAAAAACCTCTCCAAGAAAAGGAAAAAAAAAAAAGACATTTTCAGGGGCTGGCGGGTGGTGTGTTGGTTAAGGACACTGGACTCCCACATGGCCGACCATGGTTCAAGTCTTGGACCTGACAGCTTGCTTTTTCACTTTCTCTCTCTCACTCTGTCCCTCTCTGGTCAAATTAAAAATGAATGAATGAATGAAGTAAAATAAAATAATTCTTTTTGTTTTTTGGAGAGGTTGTTGCTATAGGGCGTGTGCACTCGCCAGAGAGAGAGACATAGAGACAGAAAGTGAGAAATCACTACGTGGGAGTCCAGCGACATAGCCATTATGCTAACTGCTGGTTCCCAATAAAATAATTCTTAAAAAATAAAAAAAAGACAAGATTAAAAAGACAGTTTCAGAAAAAATTGTCCCTGTCACCAAAAGCCAGTTCAATAACAGCTTTTGTTGATCAGAATTCCTTTTTCCAATACAGAATTCTTTCCGGAAAAACAGAGAATCACCAGGTAAACTGACAGGAGGAGCAGTCCCATACAAATGAACACACACAAAGCAGTCTGGGAGGATGCTCTCATTTTCCATGGCTCCTCGTCTCTGGAAGCTCTGGGTAAAAGCCATGTTGTCGCAAAGGAGATAACTTGATGGTTCCAGAATAAAACCAGAAGAGCAGTGAGCTAAGTTCTACTTTTTTCTCTAAAGTATGTGAAGAAGGGTATCTGACGAGATTGCTTGCTAGATGATGATGATATAATTCATAGGTTTACAGAATGAAAGGCTCCACTGCTTCTTGGCTCATATTTTCAGCAATAAAGAGAAGAAAGAACTTCAGACAACTGGAATTGATATTTGTATGGAGATGCATACAGAAGCCTATTAGCCAAGGAGCAGAGACTCAAAGTTTAGACCGCAAAGGAACTCAATAAGTGACCTAGACTGAAACTCTCTCTGCCGTTCTTGACATTCAGGCTTCTCTTGACTATCTCCATAAATGAGGAGCCGTCTTCCAAACCGTTAGTCAGACTAACCAAGAAAAACAGAGAAAGGAACTGGATAAATACAATCCATGACAACTCAGGCACTACAACAAGAGGTGTCATGGGAATACAAAAGAACATGAGAGAATACTACCCACTGAGTCCATTCGGCTACGTATGGGACGACTCTGGCTGACATGTCTTCTACAAATTTCAAAAGCTCTTTTTCTGAAATCCTTTCATTCATGGGAATGAGAAGGCACCAGGGCCAATGAGGGAGCTCTGACCGTAAGCCTTAGAGTGCTTCCCTTAGGGTGGAGCTAGGAAGGCTTATAATAGAGGTTAATACGAAAGGTCCTCCTTTTCTAAGATGCAACGGTAGATGGAACTTCCCAGAGCTGCCAGGGTTTCAGAGTGAGCTCTGTGTCATCTATGAAATTCCCACAATACTCAGCATAGAACTTACACAGAGGGAGCACCAAAAATATTGGACACAAGAACATACTGAGGACAATCGAGATGTAGCTTGAGTTTGTCCTGCTTCTAAAACTGGGTAAAATAAGACAGCGTTGAGTTCTTTTTCGAGGCTGGTGTGTGTGTTTGTGTGTGTATGTGTAGGGGGTGACCTTAACCTTTTCATGATGTCCTGAAACCTCAGGACTAGAAGAGGCACTGTAATATGTCTCTCTTCGATCACTGCAGCCCTCTGTCAGAGAGCACAGGTCTATACGAAATCGGTCATTGCTACTGCATGTAGATCTCAATCAATTCCGTGCCAATGGGGAACTGTGCACCTCTATGGTGATGAGACTCACTGAACTTTCTGGCAAAGGATGCCTGAACTTTCTGTAAGTGGGACCAGGATCTCCTTAAGAAAAATCAACTGAGAAATGTGTATTTGAAGTCCTCAGTGTACAAAAATACCAGTCCTGGCATGGCCTTTGCACAATTTGGTTAAGTAAACCTGTCGTTTTATTTGGGGCGATTACAGTGACAGAGCGGGCCACTGGTTCAGAGTTGGGGTGATACTCAGCCTTGGCTCTGGAGGCTGCACCTGGCTCCCCTCAGTGTTCAGGCCTCTCCCCCATACTCTGCACATAATGCCTGGGCCACAGGACAAGACAGACAGAACCTTGCCTCCCACAGGACACCCACCTGTGCTGAACGGGATGGAGTAGACGAAGCTCCCTGGGATCTGCTCAGCAGCTCTTCGGTACCAGAGAGGGAAATGGTCTGCATTGAAAATGTTCTCCTTGTCCCCAGCTTTCAGGAAGTCCCTTGAAATGGAAAAAACAAGAGCATTGTGCCATTCTGCGAGGAACAGGTGGGCATGTAAACTAATTAAGCTTAAATCCCACAGCCTCTGGCAGGTAGATCCGGGGTCGGCTGTTCGACCAGCTTGCCTTTCTCAGTACAGAGGGCATCTGAGTTAACCCTGTGCACCACCAGGTATCAGAGGAATCCTGCAGGGCCTAATGGTCACATTCTGTGTGGGTGGAATCATTTTCCTAATAGACACAGGAACTAATTAGAACAAGTGCAGGGGCCGGCAGGTGGCATGGTGGTTAAGGGTGCTGGACTCCAACACGGCCGACTGCGATTCGGGTCCTGGACTTGGTGGCTTGCTTCCTCACTTCCTTCCCACCACCCCCGTCAAATTAAAATGAATAAATAAATTAAATTAAATTAAAGAATTCTTTTTAAAAATAGAATGAGTGTAAAGAAGGTAAATCACTCTTCTTAGAAAGTATAAAGGACAGGAACTGGATGAGGTACAGTGAAAAAATGTGATGTTCTGTCAAACTAACCCATGTGAGAAAGTTCTGGGTCCACTTCCAGAGGCCTCCTAACTACACTGGGCATGGACATACCCATGACCTGGGGTTGGCTGAGGGTGAATTATGGCATTGGGGGCCAGCAGGTGGCATGGTGGTTAAAGGTGCTGGATTCTCACATGGCTGACTGTGGTTCAAGTCCTGGACCTGGCAGCTTGCTTTCTCATTTCCCTTTCTCTGTGTATGTGTCTCTGTCTGGTCAAATTGAAAAATAATAACAAATGGAATTAAATAAAAATAAATAATTCTTTTTATAAAAGAGTCTATTGGAAGTGCTATCTCTCTGTCTCACTTTTTATCTCCCTGTATTTCTCATTCATGGAATAAATAAATCAATACACTTGTGTAAAGAGTACAAAGGGGACCAACAGGTGGCATGGTAGTTAAGGCAGCTGGATCACAAATAGTCAACTGCTCAGTTGAGTCCTGGACCTGGTAGCTTGAACAACTGCTGCATGTGTGGCTGCGTGCCCAAAACCTGATAGAAGTGGAGAAGACAGGGTTGTGGCATGGCCATCCCCCAGGGGGTGCTTTCTCACTTTCATGTCTCTCTCTCTCTGGCTGGCGCCTATGCGCTATAGAAAATAAAATAAAATGCAAAGGACATAAACATGGGCCCATGGAGGGATCTTTGCACCTCTCCACTCACCTCCTTGTTCTCCAGACAAGCAGGGCTGCTCATAGACCGCCCCCCCCGCCCCCCGTGAACCCCCACTCTCCCACTTCCCTGCTTCTGCTGTGAACCTCTGTCTAACCAGAAGGCTATCCTGCACTGTCCACCCCATAGCTTCCTCTCAGTCATATTCAGTTTATTTTTTAAAATTAATTTAACTTACAATAGTAGTTGTGTATAATTGTGGGGTACAGTGCAATATTTTGATTTATGTATACACACCTGAAAGATTAAATCTAATTAACATATCTATCACCTCACCAACTTTTTTTTTTTTCCATTTTGAAATGCAGGATACATCTCAAGGTACATCTCAAATACCACCTATCTCATGAATTCAGAGAAACATGTGTGCTTGCTGCACGCTGGGTCCCCAAGGCCCTGCAGACCTTACTGTCACTCAGCCTTCTTTTTTTGGTCTCATCAGCAAAGCTGTCCCCTGCCTGAACCTCGCAACATCTCTGAGACCAGAAGCTTCGTTCCCAGTTGTACTCGGCTTCTCAGAGCCTTATATGTTCTGAAGTCCCAATGAGTGTAGACTTCACCGGCCTCGAGAGAGTCCCATTTACTCCCCAGCATATGAGTGTGCATCTTGGCTGATATGGTCCAACCTCGGAAAGGAAATGACTGCCTGGCTAGGCCACAGTCTGCAGAGAGCTTTCAGGAAGGGAGACCAATCGGGGTACAATGACTAGGTAGGTAAAGGCCACAGCTGGATTCAAATTGGCACCACTCTCAAGTCAGCCATGTGCACCATGGAGTTGAATCACATGGGACAGGGAGGGACCTTTTATTTTAAAACTATTCATTTAATTTTATATATTATTATTATTATGTTAATAGGCTATAGGTTATGTGTGCTCACCACAGAGAGAGTGAAAGTGAGAAAGCAAGCCTCCAGGTCCAGGACTTGAATCATGGTTGGCCATGTGGAAGTCCAGTGCTTTAATCACCATGCCACCTGCTGGCCCTGGAGGGATGTTCTAATGCTGAGTTATTACTAGTTAATCTCCTGAACTTGGCACACTGCTCAAGAAAACACTCTGTAGTACAGAGTACAGTCAACCGGAGAGGTCAGATGGAAGGCAGGGACATACTGTCAATACTGGGGATGATGGTAAAGGGACAGAGCCAGGAACCATAACTGACCTACTTCCAAATGCAAGAAGTAGAGACAGGGGATGGGACCCCAGCCTAGTGGACTAATGATCCCAGGGCAGCAAATTTACATGATCTAGCTCTCTCCTCAATACTTTGTAACCTTTTTTTCAAGCCCGAGGCAAAAACAAAATACTGGGTTGCTGGGAAAGTCATAATGTGGTTTTTTATGCAAAAATACATTATGACTTTTTTGATAATCCAATAGAAAAAATCAGAAATTCCAAAAGTTTCTTGGCCTTGACTTGAAGATAGTCACATAGCTGGATCTTACTTTTTCTTTTTCTTAAATAATTATTTTATTTAACTTTATTTATTTATTAATTTATTTATTTAAATTTTGACCAGAGAAGGATAGAGTGAGAGAGAGAGAGAGAAAGAGAAAGTGAGAAAGCAAGTCACCAGGTCTGGGACTTGAACCACAGTCAGCCATGTGGGAGTCTAGCAACCTTAACCATCACGCCACCTTCTGGCCCTCACACAGCTGGATCTTAATGAATACCATTCAGTGTGGAAGTGTGGAAAGAGAGGCTATAAACGACCCTATGGTAATAGCTGAGGCACCTCTATATGAATCAATGACATGAGTTTCTTTTTTCTTTTTTTCTCAAGAGGTTTTTGCTATAGGGCCCGTGCGCTCGCCAGACAGACAAAGACAGACAGAGAGACAGAAAACAAGAAATCACCCCCCAGGGGGTATGGCCATGCTGCAATCCCTTCTCCTCCATTCTCCTCTCGGGATCTTGGGCATGTACGCACATGCGCCTGGCGTGAGTTTAAGCCAACGGGTCCGAGACTTGAACCGCAGTCGACTACATGGGAATCCAGTGACATAGCCATTACGCTAACTGCTGGTCCCAATGACATGAGTTTCTTGAAGACACAAGAATGATTTCAGCCACCCAGTGAATACCTACTCTGTGTCACAGTACTGCACAGGGAAAGAACTTATAATTGTAAGTATTTCCAGCTTCCATCCATGTGCGTGTGTGTGTATACACATCTATGTGTGCATGTGTGTATGTACTAGGTTGTCAGAAAAGTCATGGTGTACTTTTGTTTGTTTTTCTATGCAAAAATGCATCATGACTTTCCCAATGACCCAATATATATATTTACGTATTTATACACACATATTATATATATTATATAATATATACAATATATTATGTATATAAATATATTATGTATTTATATTATATATATTAAATACACATGCAAAATATTACATATAACATTTTTATATGTAATATATGTAGTATTATATATAATATATACTATATAGTATATACACTATATAGTGTACACTATAATATATACACTATATAGTGCACACACACACACACATACACCCTCACCTTTCAGATAAACAGAATTAAAGACACACAAGTGAGTCAGGCACATGTCCCGGAGCTGCTGAACAATGTGCCGTTGTCTTTCAAATCTGTCACAACGCCAGACATGAGGCTGGCAAGGTGTCACATCTTGTTACAACTTTTCTTGTTGGCTTGTTGTAACCTCAGTCCCCACCACAGCCTCCCTCGCTCAGCACTGGGAAACCTCTTCCTGTGTCTCCCTTCATCTGCCTGGATCCCAGTAGGAGAAGGCATCCCTAGTCCTTCCTAGGAACTTGCCCTCTGGACAAAGAACTGTTTGCGGGTAAAGGGCTAAAAAGGGTTTTAAAAACACCAAGTCACACCTGTACTCAATTTCAGAAATGATAACTGTGAGCTATAGAGAAAACAGAAGTCTCGAATGGCTGTCTAGAATGGCCACGGTGGCATCCGGAAGCATCTAGAAATGGATCGCTCTGCTGTTTGCCAGACTTGGTGTAGTCAGGCAGTGTGGTGAGCACCAGGGCCTCCTCTGGCAGAGGGGAGCAGCCCTGCTGAGCTGGGGCTGCGCGGGGACGGGGCATCTCCTTGGGCCGTGGATGGGCCAGTTTCTCCCAAACTGGCAGGTGCGTGAGGTTCTGAGGTGACCTCTGAACACACACACACACACACACACACACACACACACACACACACACACTTATAAGTCAAACTCGAACTTTCTGTACCCCACGCCCCATTTGTCCCTATGTAATAAAGTTTCTTGGTTCAGAAAATGGAAATTGAGAAAGTGTACTAATGGGCTCAAGAATGGCTTCGCAGACCAGCTTCCAGCACCCTGAAGCCAGTTTCATGAGTGAAGGGCTGTGGTCTCTGAAGCATGAGGCTGAGCTGTGACTTCAAGAGAACTGGGTTACAGGTCTCAGCAGCACTCTCTGCCTGGCGGTCCACCCCGGCCTCCTTTGAAGTGCTAGGAGACACCCGAAGTGCTACCTGACAGCCGCTCTTGGGCACAGGGCTCTGCCGGCCCTCAGGCTGAGCACACAGGCAGGGCTTTACAAAGGACCAGCCGAGCCTCTAAAAGACGGGACTGAGACAATGATGTTCCTGCAGGCAGGAATTCCTCAGCATAGCTGCAGAGCAGCTGAACCGTCTGCCAGGAGGCAAGTCTTCCTTGCTCCCTCCGTCTGCTCCCCCCGTAGCCATAACATCTCCTGAGTTCTGAAATGACTCACGGGGTGAGTGGGGGGGAGAGGACCCCAGTACAGTGGACAGAAGCCAAAACTCTGAGGAACAAAGAGTTGTGGAGGGGCCACTGGGAGGTGAACACACACACGCTGAGGCCCCCACGGAAGAACAGAGGGAAAGACTCTCAGCAGGCCTGGGGTGGCCTGAATTTCGTTCCTACCGGTGGGGGATTCAGAAATGAACTAAGCTTCCCTTTGACTTTCCCATCTTGGGAGCTCCCTGGGCCCCAGCAGGGGAACCCTCGTACTTACTGATTGGTGAGCTGCTCGGCCCCAACAAACAGGTTGATTCTGGAGAGGCCCGTGCGAGTGCCGAGGAAGGCGACCTCCACGCCCTTGTCAGAATTCCTGAAACAGAACAGCAGGCTTCAGGGGATGCTTCTAGACAGTAAGCAGATAATGGTCTTTGCATTTTAAGACTCACAGAACATTTCATCAAACAGCAGTTTTGAAACCCAAACTTTAAAAGAAGTTATAGAAACACACATGTGCGCATACACACACACAAACTGAGCACAGAATGCAAATTCTTATTCCTTCCTAAAGTTTTCACAGTGATACCTACAGGAAAAATGAACATTTCCCAACAAAAGCGGCATAAGGAAAGCACACATTCAACCATAAACAAGTCTTTATCTCAGGGTTCTGGGTGCAAGTTCAGAGTAGGTGGGCTGAAAATGCATAGGGCTTTTAAGGAGGGGAAAAAATGCTTAAGGCTAGTTTTCCATCTTGACTTTATCAAGCCTATTCTTCTTTTTTTTTTTTAAGAATTATTTATTTCATTTTAATTTATTATTATTGTTTTTAATTTGACCAGAGAGAGAGAGAGAAAGTGAGAAAGCAAGCTGCCAGGTCTGAGACTCAAACCACAGTGACCCGTGTGGGAGTCCAGTGCCTTAACCACCACGCTATCTGCCAGTCCTACCAAGTCTATTCTTGATCCTGTCAGTGGAATCTGCCGTTAGAGGCACAAATGACTGAGCTACTGGACCATGGTCTGTAGCATCTCACGGCCCAGATTTCCATGCAGTTGGAATAGAATCTCATCTCCACATAGTCAAAGGAACTGTTCTCATCAATGGCCCCAATGAACTGACTAAAGAAATGATTTTTCTAGATATAACCATGCAGCATCTGATGGTCCCTAAATACAGACTTTCATCCTACAATGAAAGTACAAAAAGAATGCCAATACTGAGCTAGTTTCTTTGTCCTAGGTGCAAGTAACAATTTGATCCGAAGCATTGTCTATGTCATCGTCAATCTAAAATCGTGTGATTACTTTCATCTTTGACAGCAATAACAGTGGTTGATATGATCTTTCAGTGTTTAAAGGGTTAACAAAAACCAACACTGTGCATTTGTTTCTGTTTGTGTCCTACAGGAAACTGGAAGCCCAGGATGTTCAATCTATCACAGATGCGGATTACAAAGCAAGTCACCATTTTGAAATCTTTTTTTTTTTTTTAAGACGTTTTTGCTATAGGGCACGTGCACTCCCCAGAAAGACAGAGAGAAACAGAGAGACAGAAAGCAAGAAATCACCCCCCCAAGGGGGATGGCCACGCCACAATCCCTTTTCCTCCATTCTCTTCTCAGGATCTTGGGTACACCCACACGTGCCCGGCGTGAGTTTAAGCCACCGGGTCTGGGACTTGAACCGCTGTCGACTACGTGGGAATCCAGTGGCATAGCCAGTACAGCAACTGCTGGTCCCCTATTTTGAAAATCTTTAGCCTCTGTTAAGAATAAATTAGCAGGGACCAGCAGATGATATAATGGTTATGTTGTTGGACTCCCACATAGTCAACCACAGTTCGAGTCTCGGACCTGGTAGCTTAAAATTCATATAGGGCATGTGCGGATGCATGCCCAAAAACCAAGAGGAGGATGAAGGATAAGGGACTGTGGTGTGGCCCTGGGGGTGATTTCTTACTTTCTTCTCTCTCTCTCTCTCTGTCTCTCTGGCAAGCTTGCACACCCTATACCAGAAATATCTCTCAAAAAACAAAAACAACGAATCATCCATCTTTTGCCCAAGATTTCAAGTCTCATGATAAACTCAAAGAAATATTTCCATATCCGCTGGAGAAAGAATCTCAGGAAAGGTTTTTATTCTTTCTCAACCTGCCAGGGAGGAAGATCCATGTAGGTAAATAGTCTGAGGAATCCCCAAATATAAACCCAAAATGGCTGCCTCTCTTTGGTGTTCTAGGCTCACGTTCTAAACTGCCTGCCTGACATCTCCACTTGGGAGATGCATAGCCATTGCACATTTCTATAAGGACTTCAACCACGCCCAGTTCTCAACTGGCCTCTCCTTCACTGCCTCCCATCCTAGCATACGGCACCATCAGATCCCCATGATATAAATCGGGGAATGATCCTCGCTGCCTCTGTCGCCATGCTTCTTTACAACAAACCCATCATCGAGTCCTGGAGGGTCTTCCTCTGAAGCAGCCCACTATCAGACTCCTCTCGGGGCCTATGCCCTGATCTAAGCACCAGTTCCTTGGAAGACTGGCAGAGCCTTGATCATTGTAGCTGCCCCATTACACTCCATTCTCTACCCAGAAGCAGAGAAATCTCTCTAAAATGCAAGTATGATTATGTTCCTCTCCTTCCTAAAATTCTCCAAAGATTGGAGCCAGTGGTGGCATAGTGGTTAAGGTGCTGGACTCCCACATGGCTGACCGTAGTAAGAGTCTTGGACCCAGAAGCTTGAAATTCACACCAGGCATGTGCATGCATGCCCAAAATCCCAGGAGGAGAACTGAGGAAAAGAGACTGCGGTATGGCCATCCTCCTGGTGGGTGATTTCTTATTTTCTCTGTCTCTCTGGTGACTACATGTACCCAACAGCAAAAATCTCTCTCTCAAAAAAAAATTCTCCAATGATTTTCCAACACTCTAAATATAAAATCCAAAATATTTAGTCTGACTTCCAAGGTCCTGAAACACTTGGCACCTCCCTAGCCTCACCTGACATGGCCCAGTCTACCCTCTACCTACATTCAGGCCATGTTGATCTCCTTTCAATTCCTGGAAGCATCAAACGCTTTCTCACTGAGGGCCCTTGCAAGTGCAGTTCCATCTCCCTGGAATGCACACCACGTCTTGAACTGGTTCCTGCCTTCCCTTTCTACTCTAGGTACTCTCACAGCCTATGTATCTTTACTTTAGCTTTGTAAATTCTTACTAATGTGGCGTGCCTCGCTACGGGTACCATGACGGCCAGCACTCTGTCTGCACTGCCTCTGTTTTACCAGCGCCTCGTTCAATGCTCAGCATGCTACTTCCGAAAGTTAAAATAAAATAAAGTAAAATAAAGCTATTTCGCATTCCTGAATTCTTTTGCTCACACTGAGTAATCAATACTGATGAGTGAGTGAATGAATGAGCGTGAGAACAAAGCGAATGATAGATGAGATGGAAGGGAAGGTAAAACGGAGGAATTAACGAGCAATAGAAAACAGACAGAATGATGGTCTAGGGAAACAGGAATGAAGTTTCTCTTTCTTTGGCCATAGGATGTGTGAACTCGCTGCACAGAGATGCAGAAAGAAAGAGAGAGGGAGTGAGTGAGCACTCCACCAGGGGTGATAGCAATGCTGCGATCCCTGCCTTTCCATTCTCCTCCCAGGATTTGGGGGATGCGTGCACACATGTCCAGCATGTTTTTCCAGTCTCCAGATCCATGCAGCAGTTGCTGCCTGAACAGTTGGCCATGAGAGATCCACCTGCCTTAACCACGATGCTAACAGCTAGCCCTGATATTTCTTCTTTCTAAACTTGAATAATCCACTTAAAATAATAGCAGTTTAAAACTAATAATGATAAGCTGATAAGGCAGTGCTCACTCGTCTTCGACATCAACCACCACTGCCTCTCCCCACCCGCTCCGTCCTCCCCCTCAGAAAGCAAACCACAGGGTTATACCCGACACCCGACTGAAACAGAGCTCTCCCACTTCCATGTCCTGCTCACAGCCTCAGCTGGCCCAGATCCCAAGTTCTCTCAGGACTGTGAAGTAGAGGGAGCTGTGGCTGGGCAGGAAACAAAATGCCCCTTCCGCCTCCCTCTCCCTCGGAAGCGTCGCCCTACCTTGGCATACCGAATTTCATGTCGTGTTCAGACTCCCACAAATTACCCGTCAAGCCCAGGAGCTCACTGCCTGAGCCTGAGCCGCTAATCTGCTCTAGCTCTTGTGGTTTGGAGCTTTGGGGGAAATTAAAGAACTTTAACACCAGGCTCCTACAGCAGTTTAGTTCTTGAAACCATAACCGTATTTCGGAAGGCTGGTGAGGAAACGGCCCTGAGGAGGGGGCATGTGCAACCACTTACTCGGATTTGTTGAGGGCCAGGCTGGTCCAATACGCTTCGATGGGGGCGCTCACCACAGCGTCGAAAAGGACTTCCTGGATCAATTCCTTATCACCTGTCGGGAGGGACAGACAGAAGACAGCTTTGGCCAGGCCCTGGACAGGTGCAGGAGGCAGCAGCTGGACTCATTTTAGTCTCCGTAGGTGACTTTCTCACATAGCATGCACTGATGAGTTAACCTCCCACCAGCCGAAACTAGGAGGCGGCTCGGACTCTGGACACTGGGTGCGCCCACACTGGTGGCTCCCCACAACATTTGGACGAGACGATGGAATCCAGAGGCTCGAGTGCCTCACACTTCCGCTTTCTGTTTCCTCTCCCCAGCGTGGCGGTCCCTTGTGCACCTGCAGGTGGACTCCCAGATGAGGATACCAGAAATCGGTCCTCCGTGGTTCTCAGCAGCCCCAGCTCGGCCCCTCCTTGGGGCCCTGATTGCGGCTGGTTGTAAGGCAGGAAAAGGATGCCGTTGAGTGAGTGGCGCCTGGGTCCCTTAGTTTGCAATTGCTTCCACTTTAAGAATTGCTTTCACTTTAAAGGATGATATCTGTCCCTATCCAGAGGGACTCTTGGTAGAGCTCCGTGGCCAAGGCATAAGGGGACTGTCATGATTTCAGGGAGGTAACCTGGAGGTCTCCGAGCACCGGTAGAGGAGGGTGATCATTAGTACAAGTGGCAGGACAGTCCTCCCCTTGCCTGGGGGCAACAAACATGACAGAGCTTTGTTGAAAAGCCAAAATTGGAAACAATTGAACTCATCATCAAAAAGACCATGGATAAACTGAGATATAGTTATCTAATGGAATTCTATTTATTTATTTATTTTTAAAAATTGCTTTATTTTATTTTATTTATTTTTTTGTCAGAGGGCATGCATGCTCACAGGAGGGCTACAGAAAAAAAAAGAGAGAAAGAGGCAAAGTGAGAAAGCACTCCCTGGGGGATGGCCACACCACAATCTCTTCTCCTCCATTCTCCTCTTGGGATTTTCAACACATAGGCACACCTGCCCATCATGTTTTTCAGGCTGCTGGGTCCAGGACTAGAACCATGCAGTCGGTCATGTGGGATTCAGCTGTCTTAACCTCCATGCTATCTGCTGGCCACCTAGTGGAATTCTACACAGTAATCAAAGCAAATGCATTAGAGGTAAACATTTGTAAATTCAAAAACATAATGAATAAAAATACAAGTAAGTTATGTGTACATAGAATTATATACACATATGTATTATGATATTACATATAGTCATTCATGTAAGTTTATACATTACTATATATAAAATTTAGTATATAAAATAATGAAAATCGTGCTATTATTTATTATTTACCTACATAAGCAGTAGTGGTATAAGACATGTGAGAATGATGAACAGGATGGCCATACTCCTTGGGAGGAAAATAGAACCGGGCAGGAATACTCAACATTATCTGTAACATTTCATTCGTTAAAAAAAAAAAAATACCTAAAGCAAATATGGCAAAATATTACAATTTCATAAGGCTGGATGGTGACTGTAAATGCATTTTCCATAGAAGCACTAGACTTTTTTAAATAGGTCATTAGAAAAGTGAAAGATGAGCCAGCCTTGTAGTCCAGTGTTTAAGGGATTTGCAACACACATGGCTGATCACAGTTCAAATCGCAGCCCAGGCAACTTGATTAAAAATAAATGCACTGGACACATGTGTAAGTATGCCTCAAAGCCCAATAGGATGGAGAAATGGAGAAGAAGAGGTTATGGCATGACCACAACCTATTGAAGAGTGCTTGCTTTCTTTCTCTCTCTCTCTCTATCACACACACTGTCTGGCAATTACAAAAAGAAGGAGCCAGACGGTGGTGCAGCAGTAAAACATGACATTCTTCATGGCAGAGTCACATGAGAAGGTTCTCGCTGTCCAGAGGCCTCCCTGAGGATACTGGGCATGTGCGTGTTCGAGATCTGGGGCTGGCTGAAGCTGGGGGCAGAACATGCTGTCAGCAACATACTGGGGGTGCTGCCTCTCTGTCTCTCTCACTCACGGAAGAAGTAAATAAATCTTTAAGAAAATTAAGAAAAGGAAAACTTGGGCTACTTCGATGTCCTTCTGG